CCCCACCCCACCCCACTGCCTGGTCCTCAAGGTGCCACCAGCGTCATCCTGCTCAGACCCCCAGTCAGACCCTGGCACCCGGCAGAGGGGGATCCAAGTTCACTGGGAGGAAAAGCCCTTGGGCCCCACCCCATCCCTCTGGGACCTCCCTCCCCCCTTACTCACCTGGCTCCTCCCACCCCACCCCGCACCCCCACCTCTGCCTGGAAAGCTCTTCCCTGATTCACACCTGCGTCACTTCTCAAGGCCCTCCCAGTCCCTCCACCTGAATATCAGCAGCCCACTCCCCCGCCAGCTCCCCTCCCTCCCAGCTCCCACCCGCCCCCGCAGCAGCATTCTCCCTGGCCCACATCACTGCCAAACAAACTATACTTTCCACGCATTCATTCTGATCATCTCTCCTGGCACATCCCTGCAGCACACTAAACAGTGAACCCCCTAGAAGGCAGGGATTTTTCACCCTGAGGCTGGCTGTAGCGTAGCTGGGGTCAGCAGTCACTGGGCGAACAAGTCACTGCAAGAGCCCTGGGCTGCCTATGCCTCCTGCACTGTGCCTCTCCCTGAGACCTGCTCCCCTTCCCCTGCCCCGCTCCCCCCATCCCCACCCCCAGACCAGGGACGTCAGGTCTGCAGACCCTTCTGCCCTGTGCTCTGGGCCCTGAGGGGTGCCCAGGTGGTGGCCCTGGCCAGTTCAATACAGGTGGCCACGCAGACCGAGACCTCCATTCCTAGCAATGACACCCCAACCCCGTGCCCCACCCCACACCCTGCAATGACTCCCAACGCCCCCTCCTCCCTGTCCCCTCAAGCTAGAGCCCAGGTCTTCCTCCAGGCCCCCGATCTGGGCCCTCCCCACACTCTACTGTCCCCAGATGCCCTAGGACCCCGCCCTGTCCACTTCATCGGCCTCTAGTGCCACCTCCTCCCTCCAGCCTCAGCACTATGCCCCACTTTGCCAAGTGTCCCTGGCACCGCCTGCCTGGTGCCTTTGGTTGGGCCCCATTCCCTCCTCCCTCACCTTGGATTTCAAGATCCCCCTCGCATGTCCCCTGACAGGAGAGCTCTCAGAGCTGGGAGGGACCGTACCTGTCGAAGGAGGGTGCAGTTGACGCTCGGCGACCGCAGGGAGGCCCAGGAGCCCTGCAGGGCGATCTTGGGGAGGGTCCCGGCCCCGGCGCCCTTCTCCTGCCCTTCCTGGCTGGCGGCCACGGCAGGGTGGAAGAACTCGGCCGGCATGGGCAGGAGTGGGCTGGAGGCATCGGGGGAGAAGGGGCTCGGGGGCGCTGCTGGGGAGGGAGGAGAGGGTCAGGGGAGCAGGCTCAGGCTGGCTGGCGGGCCCCTGAGGGTAGGCTGGCAGGAAGGGCCCCCCTGACAAATTGGCTGTGACTCCATGGGCAGGCCTCCCTTTCTGAGCCTCGGAGTCCATCGTGAGAGCAAGAAACACCGAGACTGCCTGTGAGTCCTGGGAGGACGGGCACTGGGCAGTGGCAGTTTCTAGAGCCAAGCAGACCCAGGCTCAAGGCCCCCTAGCTTCCTTCCTCTTTAAATGGGGACCAGCTGCCCACCTTGAGGAGTGGAGACATGGCCGTAAGAGCAAGAGGCAGCTATGGAGCTCAAGCCCCATGAACAGCAGTGCTCACTAAGACACTCACCCCCCAGTCCTGACACCCTCGGGGCCTGGCCAGGCCTGGGGGACCCCCACCCAAGGACAGCACACAGGTGGGCACCACGCTGGGCAGCAGAGCAGACAGAGTTTGGGGGATGGAGGGGGCAAGGAGGAGGTGAGGTGGAAATGAAAGCAGGTGCAGTTCTGTGGGCGGGGGGCAGCAACTTCTGCCCATGGTCCCCTCAGTGCCTTCCAGGATGAGGATGGAAGCTTGAATGTCCCCAGGTAAGGGGGATTCTGCATCTGTGTCATCTTCTTTCAGGAAAAATGCTAATGAAAAGTTAGGTAGAGATGACAGGACTTCGTCTGATCAGAATGGCTCTTTGGTCCTGTGCCCTAACTTTTGATTCAGGAGGTCTGGGGTCTTGGCACCTCAACCATCATATCCAGTCCAGAGGCCATCAGCTTTAGGAAGGTCCTCGGAAGAGTCACTCCACCTTTAGCTCCTGGAAGGTGCTCAAGGCCAAGCCTCCTCCCAGAAGAGTACTTAGGGTGGGTTCAGGATCTTGGGGCCCCTCTTCTGATAAGTTCATCTTTCTGCCCCCCTTCCCCAGCCAGTGCTATGAAGCCAGATCCCATCACCTTCCAGAGGGACTGGAGGTGAAGGTGAACCTGTAAGGGACCAGTCAATTGAGTCCTCTGTTCTTGCCCCCAGAGCCCAGCCACAAGCTCAAAGTGCACAGAAGACGCTGAAGGTAGGGCTTTGTACGAAAGAGCTATTGAGGACCACAGCCTCTCTGCTGTTCAGTATCACCTTGTGTGATGATCTTGTGGGATAAACATCTCTCAAATTCAGCTCTAGAAAAACACTTCAATAATTAGGCAGCTTGCCTTCTGCTTGATGAGAGCTGTGTGTGCCAACCTGTTTCCTTTTTCACCACAGCTCCTAGGACACTCAGCGTGAATCATCCATTAGCCCAGATTTTTGGTATAATTATGATCTCATCTCTCTGTATTATTTGGCTACTGGTCTTTTGTCATTGTTCTATCAGGCCTGAGATTCCTATCTTTTATTGTCAATTAACCATCTGGTTCTTTCTGGACTCGATGTAATAGTCTAGGCAAAATTACTAAGAAAAAACCTCAGCCAGCTCCCTCCAAAGCCAAAACCCGAGATCAGGGCCATGGGAGCTGGCGGGGCTCCCACCCTCACCTTGGGTGCTCTCGTGTTTCAGCCAGGACCGGACGGGGTTGAACGGGATGGCCTCCATCTCACACAGGAAGCTCTCCGGACCCGACGAGACGGCCGTGTTGGGTAAGGGGAAGAAGCATTCGCCCAGGTCCCCTACCTGCATGGGCTCAGGCGGGTCAGGCTCACCCTACAGAAAAAGGGAGGTGGAAGGGGCAGGATGGTGGAGGGGGGGAACAGCCCACCACAGCTATTTCATGCCCCTGCTCTTCAGCCCTTTGCTTCACTGCTCTCACTGCCTGGGACAGCCTTCTCCTCACCTCCTCCACCTGGCCAGCAATCATCATCTTCCAAAACTTCCTGGAGGTGAAAGGGCCCCACCTCCAGGAAGCCCTCTCTGATGCCCCAGGCAGGTAGCAATTTCCCCACTCACTCCCCTTGTGACCCTGAGACTCCTGAAGGCCTTCCCTGTCTCTGTAGCCAAGTGCCTGGCACAGACCCTGGCCAGTAAAAAGGCCAAGCCTAGGCTGGTGAAGGCACCAGAAGTCGGACCAAGGAGCTTCAAAGCCTCCTTGTGAGCGTGACCCTGGGCAGGTCCCTTCCCGTGGCTGAGCCTCAGTTTCCACATCCATAAATGAGAGAGGAACCGCTCCTTCTGGCAACCAGCTCTCCATCCTGACACTCCCTAAGCCCTGCCCTTCTTCAACCCTGCAGCCCAAGGTGACCTCTGAACAGTATGCGCCTCAAAAGCTGCCTCAATGCTCCCTCCAAGGTAGATGAGCCCCCTATGAATTCTTCTTTGAGTCCTAATAAAACAGCACCCACCTAACACCCANCAACCCGGGGATTGAACTTGGGTCTCCCGCATTACAGGCAGACTCTTTACCATCTGAGTCACCAGGGAAATCAAATAAAGAAATAAATGCTTTAAAAAAAAAATGACTCGGCCTGGAGGTCACAAGCCCGGTGGCAGACCTCCCCTTCCTGAGCCTGCAGGCTCAACAGAGCAGCCCTTCCAGCCCTCCTAGCCTCCCTCAGACTGACCACCTCGAGGGCAGAGGTTGGGGACCATGCCCAGCTATGCGACAGGACAAACCACCTCACCTCTCAGAGCTCTCATGCCCTGGCCTGTGGATTGGAGTCACATCACCCTTAACACACAGAGCTGGGAGACAGACATACTGAGTGCAGACAGAATGGCACACAGTAGGTGCCTGCACCTGTTCAGACTCTTCAGCCTCCCCCGGTCCCCCTGTAAAGTTTGCCCACCAGGGACAACTCCCATTAAATGGAGCAAAAACATCCAAAACTACAGTGAGTGGCAGGGCCACTTGGATGCTATGATTAGAGCCCTGGCTTGTTGCTGTGTGACTTCAGATAAATCACTCCACCTCTCCGTCCCCAGCCCTCATCTGACCAACATGAGATGAGGGCCTGGCACGCAGCGGGTGCCACTTAAATGGTGCTCCAGAAAGGGGCAGTGGCCCAGCATGGCAGGTGGAGGCCAGGCTGCAAGTTCAGATCCACCTGCCCGGGAGCCCACTGGGTACTCACCTTGCCGTCCCTGGGGCTGACGGGGCAGGCTGCAGGGTCCTCCAGACTCAGGTCATCGCCAAGCAGGATGGACGAGGACCTGTCTGAGTTCAGGGAGAAGGCCTCCGTCTCGGCCAGCTGCACCTGCAGGGAGAGGAGGCCACCTCGGGTCACCCCTGGGGCTGCGGTGGGGCAGGCTGGTCCTCCAGGGAGACACAGGGCAGCGGTCAGTGAGGGCAGAGATCTGAGCACAGAGGGCATGTCCATCCTGTGCAGGGACCCAGCCTGGGCTGGGGGGTGGGAGACGACCCGAGGAGGTCACAGCCGGCAGAATGCCAGGCCTGGGCTGGGCCAGTGGGCAGGTGAGCTGCCGAGGGCTGTGAACCAAAGCTGGTCCGCTTGCCCCCAGACCAAGTGCCCTTCGAGGCCGCTGGGTCTGACTCACCTGTGGCCCTGTGCAGGCTGCCCTCACAGGCTGGAGGTGCTTCTGAGCCCCTAGGACCTTGGGGAGTCTGAAGTCACCTCAGGCTGAAGGGGATCCCTGGGGGCTGGATAGTCCTAGGGAGGTGCTCAGGGTCCCACGTAGCTGGGGAGAGGGGACAGGGCCCGCCTCAGTCTGCACAAGACGGGCCCAAGGCCACGGATGCCCTGCGGTGCCCATCAGGGAACGCCCACCTGGGGAGGTGGGGCTGAGCCCTGGAACCAGGGCAGGGGCCCCGGGAAGAGGCTCCAGGGTGCTCAGGCCTTGAACTCCAGGACGATGGCCCTGGGTGACCCCTTGATGTCACAGAAAAGGCACACTGCCCCAGAGGTGACGCCTGGGCTTCCTGCCGGCGCCCGCAGCTCACCACCACGGTGGGCAGCTCCTTGAACTCCAGGACAATGGCCCTGGGTGACCCCTTGATGTCACAGAAAAGGCACACTGCCCCAGAGGTGACGCCTGGGCTTCCTGCCGGCGCCCGCAGCTCACCACCACGGTGGGCAGCCGCCCTTTCTGAGCACCTGCTGTGTACAGGCCCAGAGCCGGGCTTTGCAGCTCCTGAGGCCACACCACAGGCCTGCACGGAGCAGAGGAACAGGCCAGGCTGGGCTCGGTGGGGAGGCCCGTCCACCACGGCCCCCTGGACCCGCCTTGATCAAGTAGGCCCTGGGGGCCTCCAGCCAGAGCTGCTCACCCCTCGGGCTGGCCTTCCACCAGGACCAGTGCCACCCCCAACCCCGAGGCCCCAGCTCCTTGGGGGCGCTGCCGTTACCTCCTGCTTGTCGTGGTGACACTTCTCGCAGCTGGCCGGCGAGGAGTAGTGGTGGAAGATGGACCCGGACAGGTTGTCGATGATGGTCAGCTCCCCCTCCAAGGAGTCCTTGATGATTAAAGAGACGCTGTCCAGCCACAGGTTCTCCTAGGCGGACGGGGACGGGGTGGGGACAGGTGGGATTATCGGCCGGCTCGGGATGGCCGGGTGGGCGGGCACGGGCTGCCTTCCTGGTTCTCCGCCCATGGTCTGGGCCCGACCCCACATCACAGGGTTGCCCCTGAAACGGAGCTGAGCGAGTGGGGCCCGAAACGACTGAGCTCTCTGCCCGAGCCCTCCCCACTGCCAAGCCCAGCTGCCTTCCCAGCCCTCGGAGACCCCGCTGCCCTCTCCGGGCCCCGCCCACCTGGGCTGGCGAGTAGCAGCTTCGGCGCAGGTGGCCCTCGGGGTCACCTTCGCTGCCTGCCCCTCCTGGCCCGTGGGCGGGCACGGGCGCCCCCGGGGAGCCAGCGGGTGGCCGTGGGCTGGGGCCCAGGCCATGGGCCATCTCCAGCTCCAGCTCAGCGTCCATCTCGGCGTCCTCCTGGGCCTCCTTGTTGCTGTCGTCCAGGTGCTTCATGAGCACGGCCACCACCACGTTGATGAGCACGAACTGGGCCGTGAGCACGAAGCTGACGAAGTACAGCGGCGACACGAACTGCAGGCTGCTCAGGCAGCTGCGCTCATCGTGGGTACAGTCCCGCAGTGTGTCCTGCACCAGGGACGGGGGGCAGGGAGGCAGCTGGTGAGGCCGGGGGTCTGGGACACAGGCCTCATCTCTGTCCTCATGAGACCCCTCTCCACCCAGCCCAGGCTGAACTGCAGGCCAGAGCCAGGGAACCTGTGCTGGGTGATGGGCAGTGAAGCCCAAGCCGAGGGCCCAGCACCCACAGCAGTTCCTGGAGTCCCTGGCCTCGGGTCCCCAGCCCCGCTCTGGCCCTGGGCAGAGTCCTGTCCCCTGAAATCTCAGCCCTGACCCCGGAGCAGCATTCGGGGCAGACAGAAAACCCGCTCTGGCCTCACGTCCACCTCACTGTGCCCCAGGGCCGTGGGCAGGTCCCCCTGCATCTCTGTGCCCTGCACACCCTCCCATGTGCGACGGGTCGCTGGGCAGGCAGAACCCAGCCTGACTCTCCCTTCCCTGCCCACCCACATGTACCTTCATGATCCCATTCCAGTTGTCGCCGGTGGAGACCTGGAAGAGCGTGAGGAAGGCCATGCCGAAGTTCTCGAAGGTGGCGTGCCGGCTCATGCCCTCACAAGGGTTCTCGTCGTTGCAGACTGGAAGGAGAGTGTGGTCAGCCTGGCCCGCTGCAGAGTCCCCTGCAGGGCCTGCCCCATGCTGCTGCCTTTCAGCCTCATATCAGACAACCTCAGAGGTGCGTGTGGGCTGTGCCCAGCCCACAGATGGAGAAACTGAGGCTCAGGGAGGTGGCACACAGGTGGAGACTCAAGCTCAGGTGAGCCTGGCTCCAGGTATCAATTTCTGAGAGAGAAGCTGGGCTAAGGTAGGTAGGTAAGGGCTCATGCCCAGGGGAGCCAGCTTTCTGAACCCGGCCCTGGGCAGGGCTGCCTGGATGTGGGCTGCATTGCCCTCAGTCTGTGCCCTGTCCACTCTGCCTACTGGGATGGCACTGACTGGGGATGGGCACTGGCAGGTGGGACTGGAAGGGGCATCCCTGAGAGGTCAGACAGCTAGGGGGGCTCCAAATGGGGGGTCCACTGCACAGGTATGGGAGTGCCTGCGGACCCAGGCGAGCATCTCTCCAAAGCCTCTATTCACACTGGGAGAGGGGTGTGGATGGCTGAAGGTCACCCATCCAGCCCCCAAAGGCTCGCTGTGGGAACATTTCCCCATCACAGAGACCGTGGCATGACAGTCTGTTTGGGGGAGGGTGTCTCAGGGCTCCCCACCCTGCCGGGACACTCCCTCCACTACCAAACCTGCTCCATAGCCCACCCCCCAGGCCGGCTTCAGCATCAGCATCACGCACCCAGCTTCCCGAAGAGCTCCACTCCCAGGGCGGCATAGATGAAGAAGAGCAGCATGAAGAGGAGGCCCAGGTTGCCCACCTGTGGGGACAGCAGGTGGGGCTGGGCAGGTCCAGGGAGGGGGCGCTGCAGGCTCCAGGCACGGGGCCAGCCCGAGGGCCAGGGCAGGCTCTGCGTCCGTGTCTGCCACCCCCGCCCCACCTCCTGGAGGGCCGGCTGGTCCAGCACAGGGCACCAGACAATAACATAACATGTGTGAAGCCCTCACTGGCGGCCCCTGTGGCTCAGTGGTAAAGAATCCACCTGCAATGCAGGAGCCACAGGAGACGTGGGTTCAATCTCTGGGTCAGGAAGTTCCCCTGGTTAGGAGAAGGCAGCACACTCCAGTACTCTTGCCTGGAGAATCCCGTGGATAGGCGAGCTACAGTCCATGAGGTTGCAAAGAGTCAGGCACGACCGAGGTGACTGGCCCTTCCTATGAGCGGTCTGATTTCAAGCATTCCTCAGTCATGGCTGCACACAGTGATCTATGGACTCTCTTTTACCCCCATTCTTCAGGTGATGAAGCAGATGTCCTTGAGAGGTGAAGTCCTTGCCCAAGACCACATCACTAGCAGTGGTAGGACTGGGGTCAAGCCTAGCAGGCTGGCCCCAGGTTCTCTGCACACAGCTACTATACCTGTGTGTGGTCAGTACCATCCCATGGATGAATGGAGAGAGGGAGAAAAGGAAGTTACATCAATAATGCTACCTCCTTCATGAAGCCTGCCTGGATTCCTTCAGACAGATGGGGATTCAGTCTCACAGCGTGAGTGTAACTGATGTGTCCCTGTCACTGTCTCTGCCAGTCTGGGAAGTCCTGGAGAGCAGGGGACATGGCTGGAGTAATTCAGATCTGCTTCCTCTTGCCAGCATGAGCCCTGGCCCCAGAGAGGCAAGAACACAGGAATCATGCAAGACTGGCCCCCCCCAGAAGCCTCCTGCAAACCCAGCCACCCCGCTCCCTCAGCTCCGGTGAGAGAAAAACATCAGATTCCAAACCTATTTCAAGTCTATCTATAAGCCAGAGACCACCTTTAACTCATGTTATGGGTAAGATAAGGCTCCAACATGTTCTTGCCCTAGAAAGGAAGTGTCTCTGAGAAACCTCAGAAGACCTGCATGAATGGAATCTGAGGATGTTCGTGTTAATTGCTGAAATGTAAACCGTGTTAATCACGGGCTCCTAATGTTTCTCTACTCCAGGCAAGGGTTTCCTTCTAAGCTGTGCCACAATCACACCAACAGTGTCTAATTAAATGATGCTGGTTTATTAAAGAGACAAGCTCTCACTGGGCACCTCTGAGGCCAGGTGTGAGGCCCCAGCTGCTGGGGTCCAGCCCTGTGGACCCCTCCCAGACTGATCTCCCAACTCCAGACTACAGCCACACAGAGAACAGACCTCATTTGCATATTCTGTTTTCTCTGCCAGGAAGATCTTCTCTCTGCCTTTGCCTAGAAAACGCCTACTCCCCACCCCTCAACACCTGGATCAGGGGTCACCTCCTCTGAGAAGCCTTCCCTGATGCCTCCTCTCTCTGTGTGCCTGAGACAAAGCCTGGAAGGAGGAAGGAAGGGCTGAGGTTTCGTTTTCTTGTCACTTTACAAAGAACCAAGGAAATGTCCAGGATCAGCAGGGTAAGCCCCTCACCCCAATACCACATGGTTCCAGGCACACACATCTCTTAAAGTAGTTGTAATTACTATCACATGTCTCCTACTTGAAGCTGGGACCTCCTAGGCATCTCCATGTGCCCTATGCCAACGTAGGGTTAGGATTCCCAGGGGTTAGAACGAGGGGAAAGGGAGAGGGGAAAGGGCCAGGAGGCCAGGCAGGCTGGGGGCACACACTTGCCACCCCCATTCCTGTCTTTAGCAGACTCTTCCATGGTGCTTCTTATGATCCAGTGCTTTACAAGCTTTAACCATTTAAACCTCACAACAACCCTTTGAGATAAAAACTGCTGCCACCACCACCCCCCGCCCTGATTTCACGGGCAAGAAAAATAAAGGCACCTCGTCCCCAGGCTCTCACAGGGCACTAGGCTTTGACCATAGGTTCCCTGATGGCTCAGATGGTGGCTCAGAATCTGCCTGCAATACAGAAGACCCGAATTTGATCCCTGGGTCAGGAGGATCCGCTGGAGAAGGGAATGACTACCCACTCCAGTATTCTTGCCTGGAGAATTCCAAGGACACAGGAGCCTGGTGGGATACAATCTATGGGGTCGGGAAGAGTTGGACACGACTGAGTGACTAACACTTTGACTTTCAGGGAGGCTTGAGTCTGGTCTCCAACCCATTTACTCTCTGCCCAGAACTCACCCACATCTTCCATGTGACAAATTCCTCCCAAGGGATTTAAGTTAAGAAAGACCACAGCTCTCTGAATGAAAGCCCTTGCTTTCCATCCAGACCTGCTGTCTGCTGTGTCACTTTCCCTTTGCAACGAGACTGCCAGGAAGCTCACTCCAGAACGGAACTCAATATCCTCAGCCCAGGTGCCTGAGAGAATTTGCTTTCACATTCCCTGGGCTGTTACTCTTTCATCCTCATCTTTAGCGTGCTGTATCCGTGCCTTTTACCTTAAGATACCTAAAGTTCTTTAAGACTAGATGAGTCATAGTGAATAAATGAATGTATATGAGGCTCACCTCAGAGGGAGGTGAGGCCGCACTGAGGGGAGGGAGACGAGGACCCATCAGTAGCTGGGACAGCAGGGGAGGAGGAGCCTGGGACTGCAGAGTTCCCAGGAGGACGGAAGATGCACCCTCTGTGGCCCTGACCCTATCTCCAATGGTGGGGGGCACTTTCCTAACTTCTCAGGGTACCCACCCCCAGGTCAGGGTCTCATGCTATCCCTTCCTAGAATGTCATACCTGTCACCTCTCTATCCACATCACCATCTCTTACCAAGCCGCCCTACAAGGTCAAGCCGCCCTACAAGGTCAAGCCACCCTACAAGGTCAAGCTCAAAGTGCCATATGCCTTCTCTGATTCCCCCATGTGCGGGCCTCCCCACACTACCCTGAGACCTCTGTCATCCCCCTAGACTCCTGGGGGCAGAACCCAGGTCCTCAGTGGCCAGCCCAAGGGCTGGGTACAGAACAGGCAGTGGGGGAGGGGGAGGGAGCAAGTGCTCCACCAAGAAAGGAAGGAAGTAGATGGGACCCCGCCCATCTCTCACTCCCTGAGCTCACAATTGCTTCTCTGGAGGCAGGACTCTGCCTTGGCTCCGGGCAGATCTGAAGAGAAGGGAAGTCACAGCCCATGCCCCCCAGCGGGCCCCCAGGGGGCCCAGCGTGGCACCGATGACGGCCAGGTTGCGGGAGGGGCGGCTCTTACCTGGGGTAGAGCTTGCACCACCGTGTCCAGCAGGGCCCGCATCCCCGTGGCCATCTTCAAGAGCTTCAGCACTGTGGGCGACACCCCGCCCGGCCCACTCAGCCCAGACCAGCGGGGACAGGCCTGTGCAAGTGTGTGCATGTGAATTCAGCAGAGTGAGAAAGTGCAGGGCCGTGAATGAGATGCCGCACTACAATCCCTTAGGTGCGGATGAATGCAGGGTGGGGTAGTGCACAAAAACATGTTCGTCCGGGTGGGTGTCGGCGTAAAAAAGCCCAAGAGAAGGAGGGCGGGCACAAGGGAGCAGAGGGATATCAAGTGTGTGAGTGAGCACCTAATGCACCGTGATGAGGTCACATGACCAGCGTGTGAGTGCCCTTGGGTCTCTCCCTTCCTCTCTGGCTGAAGAGCCCCAGGGTGACTGCGGAGTTTCTCCACCGGACCCCTCACCACCTCGGAATCTGGGGACAAGGGCGGGGCAGACAGAAGGGTGAGCCCAGAGGCAGGAGGTTTTTTGAAACAAGTATAAGGACAGCCTTGGGGTGAAAGGGAGGCTTCTGGGAGGAGAAAGGATTTCAAGGACAGGGTGTCCCAGCCAGAGCTGGAGAAAGGCTGGTGAGGACGAGTGTCTTCTTGGCTCCACAGGTTGGTACCCAACCTGAGACTGGGCCACCCTGGGCAGAGTGTTATATGGAGGGGGCATGCCAGGGTGCATGCCCTGGCAGAGCTGTCAGGACGAGGGCACGTGTGGGCACACAGCATGGGGGTGTTGAGTGTGTGTCAGGGACAGGCTCCTATTCCCCCTGCTCAGCAGACGGCCCATCCTGCCCGACCCGACCCTCACCCCGGGCAATGCGCAGGACCCGCATGATCCGGATGATGGTGGGGTTGATGGGCAGCGCTGCGTTGATCTCAATCTCCTCCAGCGTGATGCCCATGACCGACAGCAGCACGATGGCCAGGTCCAGCTGGTTCCACCTGTGCGGCCAGGCAGAGGAGGGCGGGAGTAAGACGCAGGGCGAGAGGCACTTGAGTTTAGACACACTCCAGCTGGGAGGAGTTTCCCAGCCCTCCACCCTCCTGCCGTGGCCCTTGGGGATCCCTAATAGCCCCTCCAGATCCCAGGGGTTCCAGCTCCCTCGCTGCCCCCTACCCCCAACCCCACCACAGCCTCTATCCCTCAAGCAAGAGGCTGACCAGGCTAAAGGAACATCTGAGGAGGAATGGGTTTTGACTCCTAGGGCTGAATCTTGAGCCAGCTGCTCCCTCTGTGTGGCCTTGGGCTAGTCCATCAACCTCTCTGAGCTCCACCTGTTCCCTCTGAAAAGAAGGACTCATATGAGGTGTGCCCTGCTCTACCTTCGGGGTACGGAGGACCCATGAGAGGGGTTCGGCAGAATGCCCTGCACCCATCAGGGCTGAAGGCAGCACCCAGGGTCAGTGGCCATCAGTCCTCAGATTCCACTGGTTCCCCTCCTCCAGCTGCTCCGAGTTTCCCCTGGGGTCAGGACTGCTTCCCCCTCCTGCATTGCACTCTGCGCTGCCTCAGCCCATTCCAGTTTTGCTCACCGGTCCTTGAAGAAGCGTCTCAGACCAAACGCCACCAGCTTCAGCACAGCCTCCAGCACAAAGACAGTGGTGAACATGTAGTTGCAGTACTTCAGGGCTGTCTCCAGAGACTGCAGGAGCCACAAAAAGAAGCATGATCCAGGCCCCATGACCCGTCCGCCACCTTTACTCCCATCAGAAAAATCTCTGCCTTGTAAGGGGAGAATTTCCTTCATTCACACTTAGTGCAATGGTTTACATATCTGCTTTTACTCTTCCCACTTTACTCAAAGTGCACTATTTATTTTAGATTGCTGTTTCCTTTTCCTTATTTCTGCTGGTCTGGTCCAATTACCACTCAGTGCAGGCAGTATGGGGTAATGGTTAAGGCAGCGGTTAAGAACCAGACCACTTATTAATCGATGTGAATTCAGACTCAGTACTTATTCCTTGTTTGTAGCCTTGGCAAGTCACTTGACTTCTTTAGGACTTAGTTTTCCAGTCTACGAGTTGGGGATGATAATAGCACCCACCTTAGAAAGTTGCTATCAAAATTAAATGAGGTAATAGTCCAAGACCAGACAGAATAAATACTTGGTTAATATGAACTTATTCCATTTCTTCATGTTAATTTAGAAGTTCTATCATTATTGCTGCATTCCATCAATGGTTGCCTTCCTTTTGCCTGCACTCATTGTATCTCACTCCTATCATTTAAAATAACGTACCGATTCCTCACCTGGAGGCTCTGCTTTCCCCTCTTCCCCCACTCCAGTAAGTCTTCTCAGAGACTCACCCCTACAAAACACACCCCTCATGTCCCTCATGAACGCTGCCTGCAACCAGCTGGGAACCGGACACCTCTCCTTCCCCAGTGTTTGCCCTCAGTGGCCCTGCCCCTCTGCCAGGCTCCAGATGCCCAGTGGTAGTGGAGCCAGGTGGCAAACCAAAGTTCCAGTCCCGCCTCACTCACTGGTTGAATGACTTGGGCAGCGTATTTTAAATGTCTCTGAGCCTCCGTTTCTTTATCTACAAAATCTGGAGAAAGCCTGCCACACACACGCATTAAGGCTGCTGCGAGGATCCGAGAGTTAATATCTGTAGTGTGCCCTGCAGAGTCTCAGTGAACACAGCACAGCTGTTGTCACCCATGTTCAAGGCTGGACCTGAATGTCACCCCCCACCCAACTCCCACCCCATCCCACCCCACTCACCAGGACCTTTCCCTGGAAAGGAGTGACCTCTCCCTCTCATCACTCATCCATCCTACCAGGCCCTGAGCTTCTTAAGCAGAGGACCCCGTGTAGGACCTGCTCAGACCCTGGCCCGCCCATCCCTGGGGCGGGGTCCCACTGAGGACCCGACCCCACCATGTGACCTCAGGCCAGGGGCCAGGCTGGGGCTCACCGTGGGCTGGTTGTAGTGCTCCAGGGACATGGTGACCACGTTGAGGCAGATGATGAAGGTGATGAAGATGTCCAGGTAGTGGCTGGTACACATGGAATGGATGAGCAGCCTCGTGGGACAGTAGGTGGCATAGTAGGGCAGCCGCTGGGCCTCTGCAGGGGTGCAGGGTGGGGGGCACAGACCATGGAGGGTTGGGGCAGAGGTGGGAGCAGAGCACTCAGAGGGAGAGGCGGAGCGGAGGGAGGAGGCGAGGGGGAGATCGGGTCCACCCCAGGCCCTGGGAGTCAGCTAGGTCCACCCCACCCAGCCAGGTCACCTCGAGAAAAAGGGGTTAGAATGTGAGGCAGGGCGGCAAAGAGGGACCCTGACTGTCCTCATCCACCCCAAATATGCCCATTCATGGGCTCTGGGTCTGCTGGGGACAGGATAGGGGTTCCACGGCTCAGGGCTGGGCATCCGGGCTCTGTCTCTGCCCTCTGCCTGGACTGAGCTGCAGGGCCTCATACGGGCAGGCAGTGGGGTCACCATCAGACTCTGGATGGACACTGATGACAGAGGTCAGGTCAGGCAGACACTGGGGAAGGGCGAGGCCAGGGGCACAGAGACCTCCGTTCCCTCTGGGTCCAGAGGCCCAGTGGCTATGGTCAGGCCCAGGCCTCCGCAGAGCAGCGGGCAGAGGAGCCCTGGGCCAGGGGCCCGTCCCCCTCCCCTGCAGGTTACCCACTCACTCCGGCGCTTCTTCTCCAGCCGCCGAAGCCGCTTCTCCTCACGCCGCCGCGCCTCCTCGGCCTCCTGGTGCTGCCGGCACTTGTGGAAGTTCTCTACCACGACGCCCACAAACATGTTGAGCACGAAGAAGCTGACGATGAGCAGGAAGGAGATGAAGTAGAGCAGCATCCAGGGGTTGTGGTTGGGCACGGGCTGCGGGGACCAGACGGGGCTGAGGGAGGCTGGCTGGGCACCCTGGGGCCCACTGTGGGGGGTGCCCTCCCTCGCCGAGCCTCCATGCAGGGGGGGCACCAGGAGCAGCCTCCCGGGCAACTGGGAGATTTGCAGGAGGTGAAGGTAGGAAGTGCCCACCCTGCCTGGCACAAGGATGGTGCTCGGCAAAGACAGTGCCCCCTTCCCTGCCATCTGTCTTCTTCCCCTACCCACCATCTATTCATCCACCCACTGACCTATTCATTCATCCACTCATTCATCCATTTACCCATCCATCATCCACTCATTCATCCATTTACCCATCCATCATCCACTCATTCATCCATTTACCCATCCGTCCACTTATTCATCCATTTACCCATCCATCATCCACTCATTCACCCATTTACTCATCCATCCATTCATTCATCTGTTTACCCATCTATCCAGTTATTCATCCATGTACTCATCATCCATTTATTCATCCAACCATTCATTCATTTATTCATTCATCTAGAAACAAACCAGGAAACAAAGCAGCCAGCAGAGGAGTGATCACAGCCCTGATGGTGTGTGTGTCTGTGTGTATCTGTGTGTGTCCATGTGTGTGTTAGTGGGGGTGGCAGGCAGCAAGAGTGTACAAAGAAGTGGAAGGTGATGTCACCATGTGTTCTCATTCCTCCACATCCCCAAACTCCACCTCTATGACCACTCCAGAGCCGTCCAGGGTGAGGCCAAGAGCCCGAGGGGGCCTACAGGCCTAGGGGCATCTCCAGCTCCGATGCCCTCACTGAGTGGGTCCTGTCATGACCTAGAGCATCTCCCTGCTCCTTCTCCCGATGACTTCCATATCCAGGACACTGCTGACCCTGATCAGCCATGTGTCTTGCCTAAGGCCCCCGCCTAGCCCCTGAGAGGACCCCTACTCTCAGAGGGATCTTGGGGGTGAGGGCTCAGACCCAGCCTCCTCTCTGACCCCTTCCACCCTCCCAATCCCAAATCCATCCTCACCCAGCAGCCCCAGGAGGCTCCCACAAGTTCACCTCACTGTTACCCCTTCACTGACGCCCACTGCCCTCCACTCCAGCCCCAGTTGTGCACCTAGGCCTTCCTGGCCTTCCTGCCCTGCTTGCCTCCTGCCGCTCTCCTTCCACCTCCTACCCCCGGCCCTGGCCTCATGACTCCCTGAGCCTGTCACTGGCCCGCTCAGGCGTGCACCTGCTGTCCTTGCAGCTGGCCCGTCCCCGGCCCACCTCTCACTCTCGCTTCTCCACCCACGGCCTCTGCGGCCCTCCGGGCAGAGCCGGCTCACAGCGCTCTCCCTGCAGACAGCAGGCTTGTGGAAGCCAAGGGAGCACAGACTTACACCAGCCAGAGCACAGCCCTAATGGGGAGGGTGCCGGCCAGGACAGGGAGGGGCGGGTATGGCTGACAGTGGGAGACACCCGCTTCAGGCCCCGGGGGCCCCAAAGACACCATGTCCCTCCCCTGCTGCCCGGGCAGACCCGGCCCGGCCGCACCCACCTGCTGGTCCACCGCGACAGCGTCCAGTCCATTGTACATAATGTTCACCCAGCCGTCCTTGGAGGCCAGCACAAAGAGGGACATGAGGGCCTGGAAGAGACGGGAGGAAGGGGGACGGGTAGGTGGCATGGGCAGCTCAGGCTGCATCTGCCCCCTCGGAGGGACAGAGAGGCCTTCCCCGAGTCCAGGGCAGAGCTGTGTCCTCGGCCAACAGACCTTTGCTGAGGACACGCCGTGTGCCTGCCCTGTGTCCCGCAGACACTGCTGCAGGAGAACGAGCACTGGACTGGGAGTCCTGGGCTCCAGTCTCAGCTCTGAAATTAACCGGGCAAAAAATTCATGACATGTTTTCCCCTCACCCACGGAATGGCGCTAACCCTTCAGGGTCTGCCTGCCACATTGTCTGGGAGGATCAATGGAAACTTTAAACTGGAAGGTTTAAACTGAAAAGCAGAAGCCCTGGCAGGGGAGGACTGGAGCCTGGTCTGTAGTCCTGTTGGCACTGAAGAGCTGTCACCCCCACTCACGTGGAGTGGGTCAGGTCAAGAGAAGGAGGGGGTGCTCACCTGGCCCAGATTGTCGAAGTTGTACTTATGATGGACCCAGCGGTAGTTGGCAGCCATGCAGTCAGAGCGGTTGGTGATGTTGCGAGTGTCTACACCCAGACAGTGGTAGAACTTGCCCTTGAAGAGCTGGAGGCAGGGACACAGGGCTAGTGACCATCTTGCCAGTGCTCCCGGGGGGTTTGCAATTGGGGTGCAAATCAGAAGAGGGACCTGCCCCTCCAGGGACACTGTGCATGCCTGAGCCAACCCCCTCCACCCCACCTGCTCTCCAAGTACTCCAGCATGAGGCAGGGCTACGCTCATCTCGTCTCACAGGTGAGAAAACTGAGACCCAGTGATGTCAGGTTAATTTCCCAAAGTCATTTCAGGTTCAGGAAGTGGCAGAACCAAAGTTCACAGCCTGGTCTGATTCCCAGCTCTTCCACAGACCCCAGAGATCAGACCCCAGTACGTACACTGGGGATTCGGGCAGGGACTCCACACAAGAAAGCTGCCTGTACATCTCCAAGGGAGAGAGAGAAAGAAGCAAAGGGACCCTCTTAGGGACCCAAGCCCTCTCCATGTCAACTGCCTGGAAGGGGCAGATCCACTGTCTGCATGAAGCCCTTCCTGCCCAGGAAGCCACGCTGTGCTCTCTCAGTGACCCCAAAGGACACCTGTGCACAGGGCCTCTCCAAAGTACAGCCCAGAACACAGGACCATGGGGAGCCTGGGGCCTCAGGACAGTGCTCAGACCCTCAAGAAACAGGGTCTCAGTGGCAGCTCAGACCACAGAAGACCCAGGTCATTCTGGCCACTCCCCAACATACAGTCTATGGTCTGCACCCCCTCCTCCCTGTCCAGCCCTGAAAGTGAAAGTTGCTCAGTCGTGTCTGACTCTTTGTGACCCCATGGACTATACAGTCCATGGAATTCTCCAGGCCAGAATACTGGAGTGGGTTGCCTTTCCATTCTCCAGGGAATCTTCCCCACCCAGGGGATGAATTCAGGTCTCCCGCATTGCAGGCGAATTCTTTACCAGCTGAGCCATAAGGGAAGCCCAAGAATACTGGAGTGGGTAGCCTATGCCTTCTCCAGCAAATCTTCCCAAGCCAGGAATCGAACCGAGGTCTCCTGCATGGCAGGTGGATTCTTTACCAACTGAGCTATGAGGGAAGCCCTATCCTATTCCCAGACTGGGCTAAACCAAAATCTGAGTCAGCTTAGGGCCCTGCCTGGGTCAGAGGTTCTCCATGGTGCCCACCCCAGTGAAGCCAAGCTGCCCTTCCAGGTCTCACCCACCTTGGTCCAGCTCACCTCTCCATGCCAGTCGTAGCTCCAGGACTCTCTCCACCAGTGCTCTGCTTGTCCCCACCTCCCCATGTGTCCATCTGCCCCTGACATACATTGCTCCCACTGTGATCTGCCCAAACCACTTGTCTTTCAAGGCCTGGTGAAAAGGCTACCTCCTTCCCCATTGTCCCCAGTCCAGCCCTGTGTTCCTGCCTCCCTTGGCCCCCTGTCATCCCATTTACCCCGCCTGCTCTGCACTCAGCCCTTTGGGCCCTGTCTGCCTCCCTGCCTGGAATGGGAGCTCCCTGCTGGCAGGGACCATGGTTGCTCCACCAGGGCATCTGGCACAAGGTCTCGAGAGCTGGGCAGGAGCGTGGAACCTCTTCCTCAACTACAGAGCCCAGCCTACTGCCGGCCCAGCCCCCTCACCTGCACCCCCAGGATGCCAAAGATGATGAAGAAGGCGCAGCAGATGAGGACGATGTTGCCGATGGGCTTTAGGGAGGAGATGAGTGTCTCCACCACCAGCTTCAGGCCAGGTGCCCGGCTGATGACACTGCAGGCAGGGAGGGGCCAAGGATACCATGAACCATCAGCCAGGCCCAGAACAGCCCCTATTAGGCCAGAGCCACCAGAGCAGAGGCCCCCAGGCCATAGATTATATGCACAGCAAGACCCAGTGCTTTTACCCCAATCCCTTGGGATACATACTGCACCCTCTAGATACTAGAGGCCCAGAGATGGCAGTGAGCCCCCCCCCAAGGACACACAGAGAGTGGGTAGCAGCCCTGAGGGCCACCTTCAGCCCCCACATTCCAGAACCTGCTGCAGGCCCCACCCCAGGAGCAGGGCCCACAGCCCGGAGTTCAGATGGTGCCTGGCACATGCTACAGAGGACCACATGGGTCGGAAGCGGGAGAGTGAGGGGTCCATTTAGACCATGGGAGATCCCTCGGGCAGTGCAGGGATTCCTCATCCACGGGGGTGGGGGGTCCTCACCGCAGGGGTCGTAGGGTGCGCAGGAGCCGCAAGACCCGGAGGACGCCCAGGATCTTAGCTCCCCCGGCCGAGGCCACGGACACCACAATGTCGATGATTGACACAAAGACGAGGAAGCCGTCTAGTACATTCCAGCTGCTGCGCAGATAGGCCTGCTCCCCGAAGTACAGGCCCAGAGAGACCACCTGGGGGCGGGGCGATGGGCGGGGTCAGGTAGGTTTCTGGGGAGCAGGTGGGCGGGAGTGGATGCGTCCACTGCCACCCTTCCGAAGGCAGGTTATAGGTGTCCCCTTACCCAAGGAGCCATTCCCTGAAGCACAGGCCCATGACTGCCCGGTTCCCATCTCCCTGCACATCTGCTAACCCCCATTGGAAGCCAAGCACTCCCGGAAGCATCCTAGACAGAACCCACTCCTGTGCCCCCACGCCTCCAGCAGGTACCTCCATGACACTGGAAATGCATTGAGCGCCCGCCCGGCAGACAAGAAGCTGACCTCGCCCCCCTCCTCCTTCCACCACCCCAGGAGCCCAACCCAGTGGCTGGCATCAAGTGGGGATGGGCCTCCAACGCCCCCTGTGGAATGCTGCTGCGGAGCAAGTGGGTGACCAGCTGACGGAGGCTGGACCAGAGCCTGGGGCCTGGACAGGGGGAAGGAGAGGTCCCAGGTGAAGCCAGGTACCTTCAGGGTCATCTCGCCCACGAAGATAGCTGTGAAGATGTAGTTGGACACAGTGAGGAAGATGCGTTCCTGAAAGAGCCGGGAGAGGCCGTGGGTCCAGGAGCTCCCAGAACCGCCAGCCTCTGCCTTCAGCCAAGGGGCACCCAGGAGAGGCTGCCACTTCACAGTCCCTGTCTCCAGAGGCCAGCTCCCGGCCACACCTCCCTCTGTGGCATCCGGCCTTGTAGAGCTCTCCAACCCCAGCCCGGCATGCCATCCCACAGCAAGCCCTGGCAGCCTGTCCCTCTGCCTTGTCCCCTGCACCGCCTGAAGGCCCCAGCCACTCACAGTGCTGCCAGCCTCAATCTGGGGCCGCTCCAGGGCGATGGTGATGCAGTTGAGGAAGATGAAAGCCAGGACGACATAGTCGAAGAGCTTGTGGGCGATGACGGTCTGACACAGGACCCGGAACCTGGGCAGGGCGGGCAGGGGGGCCACATGAGTGTTGGTTTGTCCCTTACCCTGGCCAGAAGGAAGGCAGAAGGCCCAGGCACACACGGGGACCAGGGCGGCCTGGAGGAAGCTGACCCTTCTCTTCTGGACACATCACAGGTGGCGATTTCACATCTTCTCAGGATGACACCTTCGGTGACCACACTGCAGGCACCTAACACCCCAGGATGAAGGGCGCCCACCTAGCCTCAACACTCAAAGCTTTCCAAACACCAGCCTGTGTCCCTGAGTCTTGTCCTCAGCCATATGGGCACACATGGCCAGATACCCTTAGCTCCTGCCCCCAGGTCTTTCCTCAGGCTACTCTCTCCACCTGGACCAGCCTCCACCCTCTCACACCTCCTTCTTCATCTGCAGAATGCTGTCTGCTTCCAAAGCCCAGCACAAAGGCCACCTTCTTCAGGAAGCCCTTTGATGCCCTCTCCAGAAGGAAGCACCCCAGGTTCTCAGAAGATTTATCCAACCTGGAGCCCAGGAATGGCTTAGGGAAGAGAAGATGCTCAGAAAAGCCCCCACCCGAACCCCTCCCTCCCCTGCAGGCTCTGAGGTATCAGGGATGCCCCCGCAATGGTCCTGCTTGGCTTAGCAGAAGTCTCTTCCTTCCAGACACGTCAACCCCCTACACTAACCGCACCCCAAGCCTGGCCCTGCCCACCTGTTCTCGGGTGAGAAAAGGTAGACGGACCAGTCCTCGCGGACTTCACACCAGTCAGGCTTGTAGACGTCAATCATCTTGCGGACTCGGAAGCACAGAGTCTGCCAAGAGAAGGCCACGGGGTCAGGCAGGTCAGCACTGCCCAGAGCTGCTCACCTCCACCCATCCTGGCCATCTAGCAGAGTGTGGCCACTGGATGACCTCTGAACTCTCCTAGTAAGACCAGAATCCTCGCCCCACCCAGGGTAGGCCAGGAGGGTTTCTGTGCCAGGGGCAGGCCCAGCGGTGGGCAGTCCAGGCCCCGCCCCCTGCTCACGCACCTGAAGTCCTCTCCCCACGGCCACGCCCATTTAGGCGGGGCCCCACTCAAGCCCCGCCCCTCGGCCCCTCTCTCTTCCATGCCAGCTCTCCAGAGCCCGGCGCACTCACGTAGTCCATCTCCTCCTCATCCTCCCCGCGATCCCGGCGGTCATCCATCTTGGTGAAGACGTCCTTGGCGATGCTGGGCATCCTGCCATTGCAGTCCTCGTGCCCGGAGGCCGGGCCCGCCACCCTCCAGGCCGCCCGGGAGTGGGTGCCCACGGCGGGCACCAGCTCGGCCAGGTCCACCGAGTCTCTGGTGTCGAGGGACAGCGTCCGGCGGTGGTGGCGGTGACGATGCGCCGGGTGGAGACCATAATGCGCGTGGTGGGCGTGCGGGGCGTGCAGGGGCGCGGCCCGCAGCGGGCCCTCGTCCCGAGCACCCTCGCAGCCCCGGGTGCCGCCACGCTCAGCGGAGAGCAGGGATTCATGCTCCGCCGATGGTGGCTTGTGCTTGAGGCTGTTCCAGCTGGAGCGACGGCTGGCCCAGGCCCCGCTGCGGCCCCACGGCCCATAGTAGGAGCTCCGAGAGCTGGACTGGGAGGAAGGCCGGGGCTCTGGTCAACGCCATCACACACAGTCACGGCTGTGACTGAAGGCAACTTGCACACCCGCTGAGGCCCAAAGGGCGCCACCCACCTGGCCACTGAGGGACAGAATGGGCTAGACCCCAGGAGACCTGTCCCTGCTCTGCCTCTCATTCCATCCTCATCTTGGGACATTTGGTCTCCTCCACCCCGTGGTTCTGTCCCTCCTGCCGCTTCACTTCTCAATGAAAAAGGTACAGCAAGTTAGGGCATCTGCCCATTTTACAGGAAAGGAAACTGGAGGCTTAGAGAAGCTTTGTAACTTGGCCATGGTTATAAAGCTTGGCGGTGGCAGAGGCCAGATTGAAGCTCAGGTCTCCCCAACCCGAAGGCCCAGCTCTTTACCCTGCACGTTGCTGCTAAGACAAAAACCCAACTCTACACCAGACCCACTGGCACTTGTTCATTCATTCCTTGTTCCCTGGGCACCCAGGAATGAAATGACATGGTCCCTGCCTGGTTCTGGCTGGGCAGTCTGGTGTCCTAAACCTAGGTACCAGTCTGAGGCTGGTACCAGACTGGCAGACACATCTTCTCTGGGTCACTCAGCACACACCCGGCAGGAAGCAGCCATCCAGAGCACCCCACAAGGACTCACCAGGGAGCGCTGGTCGTAGCTCACCCTCCCCAGTGACATGACACTGCTCTTGCGGGAGCCCAGGGCCATTAGCACAGGGTCTGGCTGCAGTGAGAGGCGGGGAGCAGATGCTGCAGCCCCAGTGGGGCCCAGATGTCCACCCAGTGGGAGATTGGGGTCCAGGTGCCCATTGGGGGTCATGGGGATTGGGCAGAGCTTGGGATCTGGAGGGTTCAGATAGAGACAGAAGGAGGGGCAGACAAGAGCAAAAGAAGCCGTGAGACGAAGAAACAGACATGGACAGTAACAGAAAAGAAGAGTTTTTCTGGAGAGACCTCCTCCACCAGGAAGTCCTCCTGGTCAGAACCCATTACATGTGCCTCCCCTATGCCCATCTCCAAGGCTCTCAGCTTTACGTTTGGATGAGTGAAGCCCTTGCCTTCCAAGTTTAGATGCCAGTTCTGGGCTTCACCCAACATGGGAGACTCACTCCTGTACTCATTGCAGGAAGAAGGCAGAGCCTGTCTAGCCTAGTTGCTGAGAAGGACACAGCATGGGCTGGGGAGGTTTCTTCCCAGCTGCCCAGAAGTACTCAACAGAACCCAGGCATCCTGAGGCCCAAAACTCTTCCTAACAGGCCAGCTGTGTGGAGGGGTGAGGGTGGGCTGCATGCCTAGAATTCAGGAGAGCCATGACTGTCACTGACCTTTTTGAGATTCAGCATTTCTGTCTATTATAAACATAAACAACAAACCATAGAGAGTTAGCAGTCCCGGAGCCTTGGCTTGAGGGGAAACCAGATGCTGTACCGTCTGCCCGCTTGGACGTCTGGGGAAAAGTCCTGGCCTCCCAGGTGATGAATGGAAATCTGTTTACCTCCACTGCTCTCCAGGCCCTCCTGGAACTTATCGAACTCCTCCATGTTGGATGAGCTCTGGTCCTCGTCCGAGTAGGAACGATTGGCATCACCCTGGGAGACCGTCCCTCACATTGGAACGAAAGTCAGTTTAGCCCTTCCCTCCCTCTTGAATTTTTCAGTGCGTTTTTATCACTCCCCACCACCACCATTTTACAGATGGGAAAACTGAGGCTCAGAAAAAGGAAGTGAGAAGCTAATGAAGACCTCAGCCAGAAACCCACATCTGCCCGACAACAAGTGTCCCCCAGGTTCAGAAAATGGAGCACCCCAGATCCTGGGGACTCTAGGATCTCAGAGATGGAGAGACTTATTCCTACATCCCTGGGGGATAGACAGGGGTCCTAGATGCAGCCTCCACTTGCATGCTTCCTGTGATGGGAAGCTCACCACCTCACTGGTAACACCCTCCTCTGGAGAACCGCTGCCTGCTAGATGTTTGAATTGCGGTCCTCCTGTATCCAGGCCACCCCCCCACCCAGTCTCATACAGGCCCCAAAGGGGTGCTTCCTCCACCAGGGCCACAGTCACCTCCGCCTGGAAGCCCTCCACCAGGATGGCCACCAGCAGGTTGAAGAGCACATAGTTGCCGAAGGTCATGAGGGCAACGAAGTAGAGGGAGGCCCAGGGGGATGTGGAAGCCATGCCGTTGTAGAGGACGACATTCCAGTCCTCCTGGGTGAGGATCTGTGGGGGGTGGGAATCGACTGCTTAGCCCCCGAGCATCCCCAGGCCCCAGCCCACTGGTTGTCCTAGCTGCAGGCAGGCAGCAGCCCATACACACCTACAGCATTCTCTCCCACACACTCATGCACACCCAGGGTCCTCGCATATCATGGCCTTGGCTGGAGCATAGCCACAGACCCAAGTGCACGCGCATGTGTGCACATGCGCGTGCGCGCGCACACACACACACACACACACACACACCTTGCTCTTCCTGCTGCCTGGTCTGCCCACACCCTCAAGGCCTGCATCACACAGTCCTGCCCTGACACTCGCTCCCCAGTCACCAGCACTCCCTCCGAGCCGGCCTGACAATCCCACCCCCACAACCACAGTACCCATGAGGAAACGGTTTCAGGGAAGAATCCTAACCCCAAAGCCTCGGGGCAGGAGTGGACGCACCGGGACGGGCACCAGGCTCTCATAGCCAGAGCTGCGGCACTCTGGCTGCTGGAGGCTGCGGTTGAGGGGCCTCCTTGCAGGCTGCTACTCTTTCCCGGGACTCTCTGAGGCTGGGAGCACCTCCAAAAAGTGACAGACACCCATGGACACAGGCTGGAGCTCACCTGGAACACCGTGACGATGGCCCACAGCAGGGAGTCAAAGTTCTTCCTGTCGGGGACCGTGTCTCCCGTGTCCGTGCGGAGGCTGAATTTGCAGCCAAAGATGTGCATCCCGAGGATGCTGAAGGAAGGATGGAGGTGGCTCAGGGGACTCACACACATACCAAGCCCCCTGCCCGCCCATCCTGTTTCATTCTCAGAACAGCCCACTAAGAGAAGTGCCAGAGCTGGTCCCATTTTACAGATATGAACACTGAGGCTCAGAGGGGCAGGATTTGCCCAGAGCCATCAGGGATGAAGTGACAGTGCCAGGATTCACACCCAGGTCTGGGGTGCTACCTGGAGAAGCTCAGTCACACTCCCCCAGGCCCCTGCGCCCGGCCCTGGCAGGCCCCATGGGTGTGGCCCCAGGGTAAGCAGGGCTCACCTGAAGATGAAGATGAAGAGCATGAGCAGCATGCAGAAGGTGGCCACGTTGTCCATGGTCTTCATGAGCACCACGAGCTGGCGCCGCAGGGCGGGCATGAAGCGCACCAGCTTCAGCACCCGCAGCAGCCGGAAAGTACGCAGCACTGACAGCCCGCCATCCGCCTGCCCCACGATCTCCCAGATGCTGTGGCCAGGCCAGCAGGCAGGGCAGGGAGGGGAGAGAGGCAGGAGGGGTCAGTGGGAGGCGGGGATGAGGGCAGAGGAAGAAGGGAGGGTGGGGAGGCGGAGATGGACACCTGTTCATATGCTCGTTCACCCAATAGATATCGTTTGACAGGTCGCTGCAGCTCGTGGCACCCTAAACTCGGGGCTCTGAACCTGGATTCCACGAACCGCCCCCTTGACGAAGCCTAAAGCCCATGAATATCGCTGACCTCTTTTTGAGATTCAACATTCCTTTAATTATGATGGTCAACAACAAACGGCAGAGAATTAATGAGGAGTCCCTATGATCCTGTGGCCAATCAAAATCACTGGTAGTTTTCTATCATGTGATGGCAGATACAGACATTTCCAGACATTAGTTATGCTCATCCTTTCTCTGGAATGTGGTTGTCATGGACCCACTACTATTGATCTTGATATTTAATTCATTCATCCAGAAGCACGTCTATATTGATAAATCACATACTTTCAAATATTTTCATTCTGGCATAATTAACTTCCTTTGATCTTATGTACTTTATTTACATCCATAGTTGGATGGCATCACTGACTCAATAGACATGAGTTTGAGCAAACTCCAGAAGATAATGAAGGATAGGGAAGCCTGGTGTGCTGCAGTCCATGCGGTTGCAAAGAGTCAGACATGACTGAGCAACTGAACAACAATTTCATTTACTGGCTGAGGTCAGTGCATTTAATCCCTCTCCCACCTCGCTCTATTTCTAAGCCCGCAGGCTGCGGGGGGAGGGGGGTCAGCACCTGATGATGACGATGATGCTGTCAAATATGTTGTAGGGGTTGCGCAGGTAGTCGAAGAGCCCAAAGGCGGCCAGCTTCAGCAGCATCTCCAGGGCAAACATGCTGGTGAAGACCACGTTGCAGATCTCCAGGATGTTGGTCAGCTCCTCAGGCTGTGGGGATGTTGGGGCAGGGGACGGGGACCCGGTCAGGCTAGAGGGCAGCCATGGATACCCCACTCTGGACACCCATCAGCTCTCAAACCCCCAGGGAGGCCTGGCTCTGCCACCCTGGCCCCATGGCCTGTAGGTCAGTGTCCTCGCTGGACCTCCATCCTCCCCCTGCATTTGGCCTCTGCATCATCTCTGCTGCCCCAAGAGGTCTACTGAGATGGGAACCCATGGGGCCAACCTTCCATCAATCGGGCAATGATGCCCGTACTGCCGACTGAGGGCCACATTATGATACCCATTTTACAGATAAGGAAGCTAAGGCTCAGAAGACAGCCTGAGGTCACACAGTTAGACACAGAGGAAGACAGGAAGGCAAACCAGTGACTGCTTAAATCCCTGTTTGCCCACAACCCTAACCCATTTAGCGAGTGTGTGCAGGACCTGTTCTGTGCACTTCCTAAGTATCGTGTCACTCAGGCCCTCACAAGAGCCCATCTGTATACAGGTCAAGCAGTAACAGTTAGAAAACCGGACATGGAATGACGGACTGGCCCCAAATTGGGAAAGGAGTATGTCAAGGCTGGATACTGTCACCCTGCTTACTTAACTTATATGCAGAGTATATCATGCTAAATGCCAGATTGGATGAAGCACAAGCTGGAATCAAGACTGCCAGGAGAAATATCAATAAGCTCAGATATGTAGATGACACCACCCTTATGACAGAAAGCAAAGAGGAACTAAAGAGCCTCTTGATGAAAGTGAAAGAGGAGCATGAAAAAGTTGGCTAAAAACTCAACGTTCATAAATTGAAGATCATGCATGGCATCCAGTCCCTTCACTTCATGGCAAATAGATGGGTAAACAATGGAAACAGTGAGAGACTTTATTTTCTTATGCTCCAAAATCACTACAGATGGTGGTTGCAGCCATGAAATTAAAAGATGCTTACTCCTTGGAAGGAAAGTTATGACCAACCTAGATAGCATATTAAAAAGCAGAGACATTACTTTGCCAACAAAGGTCCGTCTAGTCAAGGCTATGGTTTTTCCAGTAGTCATGTATGGATGTGAGAGCTGGACCACAAAGAAGCCTGAGCACTGAAGAATTGATGCTTTTGAACTGTGGTGTTGGAGAAGACTCTTGAGAGACCCTTGGACTGCAAGGAGATCAAACCAGTCAATCCTAAAGGTAATCAATCCTGAATATTCATTGAAAGGACTGATGCTGAAGCTCCAATACTTTGGCCACCTGATGCGAAGAGCTGACTCATAAGAAAAGACCCTGATACTGGGAAAGATTGAAGGCAGGAGGAGAAGGGGACGACAGAGAATAAGATTGTTGGATGGCATCACCAACTTGATGGACATGAGTTTGAACAAGCTCCAGGAGATGGTGATGGACAGGGAAGCCTGGCATGCTGCAGTCCATAGGGTCACAAAGAGACAGACATGACTGAGCGACTGAACTGAACTGAGCTGAAGAGCCCATTATGCCGTTCAGGAGACAGGTTCAGAGAAGGCCAGTCCCTGCCTGAGGAGGTACTGCAGAGCTAGTGCCTGGATTTGAACCCAGGCAGCCTAACTCCAAGGCTCTGCCCTTCACCCCTCCGTACCCAGCCTTCTCCCCACCTCCTTCCTTCCTTAACAATTGCTTTCTCAGGATTGTGGGTGGCTAGAGACCTCCAGCTCTGTGAAGGGCAGACAGAGACCCTGCACCTACCATGTGCCACCACGGCTTTCAATACACTGGACCACCCGGTCAGTGGGGCTTACTTCACCTGCTGCTCAGAGGAGAACGCTAAGGCCCAGAGAGGTTGAAGGTCAAAGGGAAAGTCGCTCAGTCGTGTCTGATTCTTTGCGACCCCATGGACTGTATGTAGCCCGCCCGGCTCCTCTGTCCATGGCATTCTCCAGGCAAGAACACTGGAGAGGGTTGCCATTCCCTTCTCCAGGGGATCTTCCTGACCCAGGGATCGAACCCAAGTCTCCCTCATCGCAGGCAGATTCTTTACCATCTGAACCATGAGGGAAGTCCCTGAAGGTCAAAGTCCCAGCTACTCAGAGGGAGACTAGCCCTTCTGTCCACAGACCCACCCTCTGCCCCTGGAGCTGTATGCTGCTGCTGCTGCTAAGTCGCTTCAGTCGTGTCCGACTCTGTGTGACCCCATAGACGGCAGTCCACCAGGCTCCACTGTCCCTGGGATTCTCCAGGCAAGAACACTGGAGTGGGTTGCCATTTCCTTCTAGCTGCTAATTATGAACAGCACATGACACCCTTACAAGTGGAACTACCCAAGGAATCCCAGTGTATTAAACAAGCTACCCTATAGCCGCAACTGGGGTGGGGTTCCAAGTCCACCCTCACTGCCCAGGCTTCAGTTTCCTCATCCTTAAAATGGGAGATGGAGTGAGGGGAGGGCTATACAGGGCTCCAGCCCCTTCTCTCTCCACCCCTCTCCCCTCTCCTGGTTCTGCCAGGACTGGTGAAGTGTGGTCTCTACTCACCACCGGGTCAGGTTGTTCCTGCCCAAATCATACAGCAGGAAAGGGCCATTTTTCAGGCCTGAGCTCAATCCCAACTCAGTTACTGACACCTCAGCCACCCTGTGAGGCCACCGTTGTCATCTCCGTTTTACAGATGAGGAAACCGAGGCTCCAAGAAGGGAACTGCCGTGCTCAGAGTCACCTGGCAAGGCTGTGGCAGCGCCACCAAGTCAGACTCCAAACTGCGCTCCCAGTCCCCACCCCCACCCCCAAACTCATCCATCCATCCATTCACTCGTCCACTGTTGCAGGCTCTCCCCAGTGTCGGTCAAGGGCTGGGCTTGTGCTACCCAGGCTGGGCGGTGGTGAACCAATCGGGACATTCTCCCTGCCCTTGAGAAGTGCAGGCTCCACTGGCAAAGCCCATCATGCAGGTTAACACCCAGTCAGCAGGTGATCAGAACAGAGGGAAGTTGAAGGTGGTTTGGGCCATAGGGTCAGTGGAGTCAGGAGCGGCTTCCTGGAAGAAGCTGACATCTCAAGGAGACCTCAGAGTCAAGAGGGAGAGTGGTAACAGGGAGCAGAGAAGGTGTCCAGGCAGAGAGAGCAGCTGGAGTGGAGGCAGCGAGGTGGGAGAAATCCCAATATCGGGTCCGCCCACTCCAGCCCAGCTCTCCCATGGAGCGACACAGACTCAGGGCCTGACTTTGACTCCACTTGGGTCAAAAGGAGAAGAGAAAAAAATAACAACCCAACCCTCTGCTTCCCGCCTGGTGCCTGGGAAATCTAATAAAACTGCCAGCTCCTCTCAAGGCCAGATCAAAGAGAAGGCACCATTTCCATCTGTAATTACATTTGACTCACAAAATGGTCCCAAAAGGGGAGTGGGACCCCGAGAGAGGCCCCCAGAGCGGGAAGGGCTGGGGCCCAGCATTCCAGGATGAGCCAGGGCCCAGATGCTCTTCAGAGTCATCAATTTCCCAGCCCTCCAAATGGGAGATGAAAGATGTGGCCGCTGACACTCCACAACAGCGGTCACCCCGCTAGGGGCCTCACGCTGCCTGCACGCCCGCCCACCCACAACCGATGGGAAGCCTGCCGCCCGGCTCTCCCCAAAAGGTCACCCGCTTCCTCCCCTCCTCCCTCACAACAGCTGTTTCTCTAGTCAAGCGCACACCTGTTAATCTTTTTCTAATGGACCATCCATCACTCCTGCAAGCATTTTTCTGGGAGAGAGACAGTGAGCAGGAGAGAGAGACAGATAGACAAACCTAGACACAGTGAGTGTGAGACCAAGTGGGGAGGCATGTGGAGAGGAACAGGGCAGCCGTCGGAGAGATGGACAGACAGAGACTCAAAAGACTGATGGACAAACAGACAAATATGGACCCGGGGAGTAAGAAGCAAATGCAGGGTGTGGAGAGACAAGATAAAGAGAGGAAAACAGAGATAAACAGAAGGAAAGACTGAGATCATGACACTGGGTAGGTCAGAGACAGAGCCAGAAAGTGAGAGCGCGGAGGCAGACAGACAGACGGAGAGACTGCAGAGAGGTGGCTGGAGATGGCAAAGACCCACCCAGGGGAAGGGGAGGTGCGGAAGGGCAGAAAAACCAGGTTCCACCAGAGGTGGGAGGATTGAGGGCTGATGAGCGGGGAGCTGCAACCTGGAGGAGAGGCTAGAAGCGGAGGCAGACAGGGCAGTGGCAGGGCCAGCTCACCCTGACGGACGCCAGGCTTGGGAGGGCTGGCGGCAGGGGCAGACAAGGGCCCAGCTGGGCAGGAACCTAAGCTGCCCCCAGGAACCCCTCGAGCCCAGCATCACCCCCATGATAACAACCCAGCTGGTGTTAAAAGCATCCCCACGTGCCAGGTGGCGCTAAGCACTTTCCATGAATTATTCCATCAAAGCTAAAACATTACCCTGTAGTAGCCCCATTTGACAGCCGGAAAACCTGAGACCCAGAGAGGGGAAGTGACTGCCCCTGGCCACACACAGGCAGCGGAAAAATTAGATCTCAAACCCAGGTCTCCTCCCTCTGGCCTGGCTACCTCCCCATGGTCCAGGTGCCTTCACCTGCCCTACCTTTCTGACCTGGGGCTCCAGTTCAGCACAGACTCACTGGCTTGCTTATAAGCCTTCCATGCCCCACCCCACCCCCACTGCCCTAAGGATAAAGCCTGTCTCAAGACCCTTCTTGAATGGACAGTCCCCAGGCTGCCTGGTCTGTCTGCCCTGGCCCATGTGCATATGCTCCTTGAGGGCTCAGGAGGGTCTTCCATAGGAATACCTATGTTCCTGGTGCCTGCATTTGCCTCTCCTCTGTCTACTGAAACCCCAGTCAGACCTCAGGATCCATCTCCAGTGCCACCACCTCCAGGAAGCCTTCCCTGACTGCAGTCCATGTTGGTGTATCTCTCCCCTAAGCCCCCATAGAGCTGGAATGTCAGGCACTAAGCTACCCCATCTTCCTCTTCCCAGAGTCACCCCAGATCTAGGTTGGCAGTGACTTGATGAGACTGCTGAAAAGAGAATAAAACCTGTTCTGACCCATCCACTGATTTGGAGGCCTTGAATGCTGTCCCCTGGGACCTAGAGCCAGTGGACACGCCCCAGCTGGTGTCAGCCCTGCCCCAGGGAGGCTTTCTGCACCCCTCCCTTGCATTCCATTCAGCCTGGCTCTCGTTTTCTCTTTTTTTTTTTTTGGCTGCACTGCAGCACATGAGATCTTAGCTCCCCAAGTAGGAATCAAACCTGTGCCCCCTGCATTGGAAGGCAGAGCCTTAACCACTGGACCACGAGGGAAATCTCTGATCCTCTGTGTTGTCTGACATGGTGACCTTCCTCTAGTCTCAGGAAGGCCTTGCCCAGCTCAGAAGGAGTCACGGGTATGGGCAAGAGAGTGCCAGGAGAGAGCGGGGCCAAGACAGACCCCTCCCAGGAGCAGTGCCTCCCCTTCACCTCCTGTCAGCTTTCTGGAACCTCCAATTCAACCTCAGTATCTCGGAGCCCAGCGCTGACAGCTGCTCACCACGCCACGCTGGGCAAGCCAGTTCACCTCTCTGAGCCTCAGTATCCCTACCTGCCCAGTGGGTACAAGGCACTCTCCCCGCCTGCCCCGGGGGCTGCCGAGAGGTCACACCAGGAAGAGATGTGACAACACAGGAGAGCAGATGGCGACGGAGGAACCTGGCTGCCCAAGCCATCCCCACCCAGCCGCCTGTCATGCAGACTCCATCCCAGACCGTTCTGGGCCCCTCCCCTCCAGGGCTGCGCTGGGTCGGGAACAGGCTTCAGCACCATCTGACCGCCTCGGGAGTCACACACAGGCCCCTGCCTGGCTGATTCCCACTTTTCCCTGTCACCCCCTCACAGGCCAGTCCCTGCACGGAGTATCCATGACCACAGGAACCCTGGTGACACGCCTTCGAGATCCTGGCAGCAGTGACTCCCTAAAGGCCGTGGGCACCCCCAGTCTCGCCTCTCATCTCAGCCCAGGGGTGGCCCCTTCACAGATGGAAAAGGAAAGTGGCACCTGACCTCTGTCATGTCCTCGTCACCTGCCACCCCTGCCACCCAGTGACCACACCAAGCTCCCCGCCTGCAGAGTGTGCAGCCGGGGCCATATGAGGGACCCCCCAGGATGCCTCCCCTCTGAGTCCCCTCCCCTGCAGGAGACAGGCTGCATGTGTTCCCCGGCCTCCCCTTCCCGCTCCCCACTTCTCTCCCTGCCCCTTGGCAGCCCTGGGCTACCTCTCTCTCTACCGGCACCACCTCAGACGGGAGTTGCTCAAAATAGACTCGGGGGCGGATCACTTCCTGCCAGCACGTCTGGGATGGGAGCGAGGGGCGTGGAGCAGAGCTACCCGCGCCCCACGAGCGGGCCCTGCGCGGAGCTCCGCCAAACAATGGCTGCTGCTCGGAGCTGCTTTAAAGAGAATATTTTTAAAAATCCTCCCTCCTCCTCACTTTTTCCTTAATAATTTTTTTGAGCTTCAGACGATAGCTGGGTAAACTGACCCCAAGGGTGGTGTAGTGAAAGTTGCTCAGTCGTGTCTGACTCTTTGCGAACCCATGGACTGTCATGGAATTCTCCAGACCAGAATACTGAAGTGGGTAGCCTTTCCCTTCTCCAGGGATCAAACCCAGGTCTCCAGCATTGTAGCCGAATTCTTTACCAGCTGAGCCACAAGGGAAGCCCAAGAATACTGGAGTGGGTAGCCTAGCCCTTCTCCAGCGGATCTTCCCGACCCAGGAAATAAACCGGGGTCTCCTGCATTGCAGGTGGATTCTTTACAAACTGAGCTATGGGGGAAGCCCCAGCGATGGTGTAAGGTTCCAACAAAAGTTCACAAACCATTCCTAACTAGTGGGCGCGGACTACGCGCCAGGCTTCTTAACACATTTGACCCTCCCAGCTGCTCTGGGAGGAGACGTTCGTGTGCCCACTTCCAGATGGGGCTACTGGCTGAAGGAGGCCAAGTGACTTGCCCAAGGTCACCCTGCTGGGCAACAGCAGAACCAAGGGATGAAGCAGCAGGTTTCAGCATTCTGGTGGTAGGCGTCAGGTTGGGGGGTGGGGCAGGTGGTGTTAATACCTGCTTTGGTGGTGAAGACTCAATACACCAGCTGGCTCAGGGCCTGGCGCTTAGTAGGAGCCAGGGAGCCAATCCCTATGAGGTAAAAGGCACAAAGTCAGGGCATCTGCTCATGGACAAGGAGGCCAGGGCGGCTCCTGTGAAGGGGCAGAGGGTGCCAGTGAGGGCACCCCAGTGGGGAGACCAAGTGGGGCCTGCAGTACCAATGAGAAGAGCCCCCCCCGCCCCCCGCCATCTGAAGGCTGGAGTGTTTGCCCAAAAGGATGCGGCAGAAGGAGAAGGCGGACAGGCCAGGCAGGGAGACCCTGAGAGGACTCGAGCAGGGACCATGGCCTGGCCTGAGTCTGGGGCTGGAGAGGGAGAAGCTGGACCCAGAGGTCAGAGCTGCAGCCACCGTGTTGCCTTGGAGGGATGGCTGAGAAGGTGGGAACCAGTGGTACAGTAGCAAACAGGCCTCTGAAAAATAGCCCTGATTTGCAGTGTACGGCAGTTTCCACTGGGTGAATACCCCCGCCATGGCCAAACCATTTGAAAGGGTGGGCTTGCAAAATCCTGGAATCTCAGAAAACGGGCTCCTGCGAGCTGTTTCCACAAGCCACCAGCAGGGCCCGTGCTCAGGCCCTGGTGGGGCGGGACTGTGACAGGCTCCCTGGGTGCTGCTCCATCCAGAAGCTAGAGGCAGCACCCCCGCAGCACCAGTTCACCGCGGGGCCTTCCCCAGGGACACTGGGTCAGGCAAAGGCCAGGAGACTGGACCCGAGGCGAAGGGATCCAGGCTGCCAGTCACCAGCTTTACCCTTGCAGAAAGCCTCCCCACCGGCCCTCCCCAGAGACCCTCATAATTAAGCCGGAATGGCTGGCAAACGGGCAGCTTTGAGCAGAGTGTGGCGGCAGCCCCAGGGGCCGCATTTAAGTAAATTGAATACAGCCTGTGCCTGGTGAGCTAATGAAGAGGGAAATGAGAGTGGGGCCCGCCCCGGGATGCTGTGGGCGGGTGGGGGGCCCCACAGAAAGAGGACCACCGGGAAGCCAAGGGGGTGTTGAAACTCTATACCCTAGCAGAGGAGGGGATGAAATCTGACCCCAACTGGCTGTGGGATCTTGGGTCAGTAACATCCCCTCCTTGGGCCTCAAGGCTTCCCTGCTCTCTCCTAGACAGAGTGCCTCACACAGTTGGGGTGCAGGTTAAGGGAGGGACCCCACCTAGCAGCTGGGGAACAGTGGGAGCCAGAAAATGATGTTTTTCCAAAAGGAGCCAGGGCTGGACTGACTTGTCCAGGCTGTCAGCCAAGTGTGAGCAATGGAGACATCTGTGCTAACCCCCTAGCCTTCCATCCTGTGCCCCCATAAATACCCTCTGGTACCACACATTCTCCCTGTGATCCTGCCACCTTCCAGTAGCCATCCCCACCCCCATGGGTGGTGATCCCCCCTTGGGGGACCCTTTCTCTGAACTCGCCTCACCTCTAAACCCTGGGCAGTACCCCCTGATGGCCCAGGGGACCTGGGACCCACCATTTCACTCCATCAACACGGTCTCTGCACCCCATGCCTCCAGAGTTAAAGACAGAAGAAGCCACGGGTTCGGCCAAGAAGGGAGACGGGGGCAGCAGATTAACCCTCAGTGCCGTGGGGCTGCAGTGATGGGGGCAGGAAGTGGGGCTGGGGGGTCAGGGATAGGAGGACACCCCACCTGCTGAAGGCGTGTCATGGGTAGGGCACAAGGGGCTTTGACCATCAGTGAAAAGTGCATTTTGTTCCGAGGGCGACGGAGGCGTGGAAGTTTGGGTCCAGGGAGCTCCCAGCCTCTGGAAACACCCACTCCAGGTGTTTTGGAGAGAAGAGACAGGAAGGCTCAGGTGCAGAGGTGAGGAACAGAAATGAGGATTCAGCGGGGACTGGCGGGGGATGGGCTGTGGGTGACCTGGTGTCCAGGCTGAGAGGGACAGGAAGTGCTCCCCCTGGTCCTCACCCCAGGTGACCATTCGGTCACTCGTCCACCCTGAGCTCTGCCACCTCCTCGCCTCACCCTGGGCTGGGCACTGAGGTCATGTGGCTGAACAGGACCCAGGACAGGGGAGACAGACACACCGCGGGTGTGCGCCAGGCCCCGGGCACACACATGCCAGCCCACCCCGTGCCCACCCCNGACCCAGGACAGGGGAGACAGACATACCGCGGGTGTGCGCCAGGCCCTGGGCACACACATGCCAGCCCACCCCGTGCCCACCCCCCGCTCCCCACTGGCCTGCTGATGGTGCTCGATGCCCATGCTGACAGTGTTGACCAGAATAGCCATCATGATGCCCCGGTTGAAGTACTTGCTGTCCACGATGCCCCGCAGCTTGGCTCGCGTCTCCCGCCACACGTCTTCGCACAGCCGGGCCGCCCCGTCGGCCGGCCCCTCCTCGTCCTCCTTCCCCAGCTCCGAAGAGGCCCCGTCCTCGCTGGTCCGGGCCACATCCGCGCCGGCTTCCTCCTCGCCGCGCCCCGAGTCGCCGGAGCCCGAGCCCTCCTGGCCCGAGTCGCTGCTGCTGCCTGGGCCCGAGGGCCGCCGTTCAGTCTCGTGCTGGCAGCAGGGGCAGCTGGCGGGGTCGGAGGCCAGCATGGCAGAGATGGGCTGCACCAGCGTGTGGGGCGTCGGGTCCAGGGGGCTGTGTCGGGGGCATAACTCTGGAAAAGAAGCAGAGGTCAGAATCGGGCCCTCGGGTCACCCAGGAGGCAGCCCCCACCTGCAGTCGGTCTGGCATAACCTGGGCCACCACCTGTGTGAGCCTGCAGGGTCTGTCTGGAACCCACCAGCGCTGCTTGGAGGCTGACGGCTTATGGTCCCTGGGGAAACGTGCCTCCCCTTCTGGGCTTTCCTGGCCCCCAAGAAAAAGCAAGGACCAGAAGTCCCCACCTTACAGAGCCGTGGGGTGGGTTCTATTGCTTAAGATGCAGATGAGCCCTGAGGAGTGTCCTTGCTCCATCACTTCCTGGCCTGTGGCCCCCCGAGATTAGTCACCAAAAGACCCTTCAGGTACCCCAGCCCATCCCCACTGTTTTGCTTCACGACATCATGGAGCTTGGAAAACGGCTGAAAAGGCTGGCATGGAGGGTAGACACCCCTCAGAGGAAGCCAAGGTGGCCTCAACGTTCCTCAATTCTCCTGGGGTCTATTGCATCCAGGGAAGAAGGAGGCAGGACTCCTGGGCAAAGGAAAGTCTTCATTCTAGAAGCACCTCTCCCCGCCCCAGGCTCCCCTCCACACAGCTGAGTTGAGGTGGGCCCTGGGGAGCGGGCAGGAGGTCCCCACAGGTGGCAGGGGCAGGAGTTGTCATCCCCGGGGCTGTCCCCGGAGAGGTGAGGAGCTAGGCCAGTATCGGATCCAAGTTCTATGATCCGTGAACCATTTCAAAGAGTTGTCAGAGAGGCTCCATCTGGGTGGTTTGCTTCCTTCTTTATATTTGTGTATGTTTTCCTAGAATAAATGGGTTTTGCTTGTGTAGCAAAAAATATATAACGTTAAAGAGAAAGAAAAACCTGCAATGTCTACCCTTCATTTCCACGCTTGCCACCAAATACCTCTGGACAAGGCTCTCTGACTCACTCACCCTCTAGACTGGTGGGGCCGCCAGGGTTGGGCCCACCTCAGCATCGGAGGTCAGAGCAAAGCACTTCCCAGTCCAGCTGAGCATGGGGTCGCCCCCCTAAGGCTTGTTTCCCAAGGAAGGGAGTTGGGGGAGACACGGAGGCCTAGGGCAGAGGTATGACCTCCCTCCAGAAGCCTTCTAGGGCTTCTCTCCATGCAGTTTCTCTGGAGAGAGTGGGGGCGACAGCAGGAAGTCCCCAAGCAGTAAACACCCTCCCCGCGTCATCCAGGAACACGGGGTGCCAGCCTTGCCCAGACCCCTACTCCCCCGGCCACGTGCTGGGCCAGCCCACGGGCCACCTGGAGCTTCCTCCAAGACCATGCCTGGACGGCTGGCGCCCGGAGACGGGTGGGCGGCCGCCCTGAGGATGAATTCTGCAGCTTCTCTCGGAGCATCTCAGATTCCCAGAACATGAGCACTGCGGAGCCGGGCTTGGGGGTAGCTGACTCCACAGCACCTGGCCCTCATCCTCACTCCATGGATGGAGACTGGAGGGCTGCAGAGGGGCCGGGCTGTCCAGGGTCACAGCTGCCGCTGCTCTGGGGTGCGGTCCTGAGGCTGGCTGACTTCCTCACTGGCACCAACTGGGGGGCAGGGCTGGGCCTGGGGTGGGGCTCACCTCCTGTGGCTCCTTTGTCTCCTCTTACTGGAGAGGTTCACAGCCCCCCCGGGAGGTGGGGGGCGGGGGGCGGCAGAGCCTGTAACTGATGTCTCTAGCACACTGTGTGACCTTGGGTGACTCCCTTCATCCCTCTGGACCTTCGTATTCCCTTCTGAACACGGGAGCCAATATTACTCTATTCCCTTCTGAAGACTGTTTTCTAGAACAGATGAGAAAATGAATGGAAGACCCTTTGAAGCCTAAGGGGCTAACTCTCTGGAACTGTCTACAGTTGAGCAAGAGAAATGGCCCCAAGGCAGGAGGAATCACAGTGTGTGAAGTGCCCGACATGCTTGCTCAGGTGTGCAGTGAGAGGGGGATGGCCTGCAGTGTAGAGGGATTTTATAGTTTCATAAAACTAAGGAAAACTATAAAGAAAGTTGAGTGCCTAAGAATTGATGCTTTTGAACTGTGGTGTTGGAGAAGATCCTTGAGAGTCCCTTGGACTGCAAGGAGATCAACCAGTCCATCCTAAAGGAGATCAGTCCTGAATATTCATCAGAAGGACTGATGCTGAAGCTGAAACTCCAATAGTTTGGCCACCTGATTCGAAGAGCTGACTCATTTGAAAAGACCCTGATGCTGAGAAAGATTGAAGGCAGGAGAAGGGNCACGTTTTCAAACTGCCGCTTTTGAGTCCCCAGCTGGAGACACACCAGGCCTGGGTGGAGCACCCTGGAGGCCCCGCTACTTACTGTAGTGCCTGGGCTCCTTGGCGCGGGGCCCCGGCGTGGCGGAGCCGGGCGTCCCAGGAGCCTGGTGCCGGCTCCGCAGGGCCTGGTAGAGGCCCAGGGCCCGGCGCTTGGCCTTGCGCAGGATGTGGCAGATGTACTGGAAGATCTCCTCGTAGCAGTCGCCGGGCTCAGCGTAGCTGGCCACCGTGCTGGAGGACAGGTAGCGCTGCCGCTGCTCCAGCATCAGCCGGTGCTCCCGCTGCTTGGTCTCCGAGAACTGGGTCGCTATGACAACGAGGCACAGGTTGATCATGAAGAAGGAGCCCACCTGTGACCAACGGGAGGAGAGGACAGGGACAGAAGGGATGGTGGGGTGAGAGGGGGTGGGGGCGGGGGGGCCGCAGGAGGGTGGGAGAGGGAGAAGGAGAGATGGGGCAGGAGAGACAGCGGTGGAGACGGAGGGATGGAGGCAGGGCAAGGAGCAGAGGGGATGCAGAGGCAGAAAGAGGGCCAGGGGGAGGGGCGGGGTAGATCCCGGACATGAAACAGGCAGAGAGACAGCCAGAGACAGCGGGACACAGAGAGAAAGGCAAGGAGAGACGCCGAGGGAGGGTGAGACAGACTCAGAGAGGACAGAGATGGGGGGTGTGGGAGGCACAGAGACGGGGGCGGGTGGGAACAGGGAGAGAGAGAAGGGGCAGGGTGTGGAGGGCCCAGAGAGACGGAGAGGCACGGGCACAGATAGGAACAAGAAAAGACCACTGAGGCCTGGCTCCCAGAGGAGGCTGGGGCCCAGGACAGGGGTGGCCCGGGCAGCCCCCCAGAAGGCTGCTTTCCTGAAGCCTGCTTCCAAGCCCATCCGCTTTGGACCCCTAGATCCTGACCACAGCTGCCCTCCCGCCTGGGACATTGACACTGAGGCAGGGGAGGAAGGCAGAGACCCCGTAGGCTCTGCTAGCCCTGATACCCACCCCAGCCCTGCCCTCACTATGGCCTTGACTTGGGCCCTAGTTGGGCCTGCAGACCCCACTAGAGAGGTTTTCTTTAGAAAGGGTTTGCTTGTGTGTTTGGATGGGGAGATAGGAAAAGGTTAGGAATTCTGCTGCCTCAAGTCCCCAGGCCCCGCTCCAAGGGCCACCAGAGGCAGAAGGGCCCTTTCTGCCCCAGTTTCCAGAGGCAGGCTCCTCCCAGACACGTGCTGAGCCTTGGACCAGACTCAGCTGCAGTGAGAGAGGCGGTGGTGTCGCACCCTCCTCCAGGTCACCCACCAGAAGGTTCCTGCAGGCGACGGTCGGTCGCTCATCCCCTCTTCCTTCCTCTCCCCAACAGCATGGCTGGGAGCCGGGGTTCGGGAGATGAGCTGTGAGGGTTGTAGGGGGCTTCCTGGCCCAGAGGACTCTGGGAAAATCCCCTGCTTCTAAAGTAAGAAGACACCTCACTGATTTGCTCTCTGTATTTCCAGGAGACGGGCTCCGCAGAGCCGTGTGAGGGACACGGACCCCGCCCACTGGGAACTCACACTTGGCAGCCTCTGCCCAGCCTGCCCCTGCAGCTGCTGTCCTTGGGTGACCAGAAAGCACCCCATTTCCCTCTGGACCTCCATTTTCCCCATCTGTCAAACAGAAGGCTCAGACGAGCTTAGGACTTATCCAGCCAGAAGGAGCACGGGGCACCTGGGTTAATTTAGGGCTGAGATCCCTCACTGGCTGTGTGGTCCAAGCCAAGCGCCTCACCTCTCTGAGGCTCAGGGTCCACACCTGAGACATGGGCAGGTAACCCAGCCTTTAAGGTTCGATGATGGCATCATCTCCTCCAGGAAGCCTCTCACTTCCCCATCCTTTCTCCAGGCTGGGCGAGAAATCTCCTTTGGACTCCCTTAGCCTCTTGGGCTTCCTTTTGTGGTGGCTCCTAAGATGCGGCTGGTCCCTGCCTGCTGCAGCCCGTTTTCCCCAATGAGACTGTGAGCTCCCAGAAGGCAAGGCAGGCCAGATCCACTGCTCGGTACCCAGCACTCGGGGCCTGGCATAGCGCAGGCTTCCCTGAAAGTGCTGGGGAATGAACGAACCAGTGGATGGGTAGGGATGCTGAACAAAGCCTGGGATCTTCTCCTTCTATCTGCAGTGTTTCCTTATGAAAAGCGTTCCAGCACCCCCAGGAAGGCTGAAGCTAAGCCAGCAGTGGGTGTATCTCAGCTCAGTTTGTCCTGAACCCCCAGGTCAAAGTCCCAGTAGCCCAGGAGGGGGTGCTGCCCCAGAGCGCCAAGCGCAACCCCTCCTAACACCAGGAAGCCAGACAACCCACCCCTACAGCAGGGAGCCAGCAGTGACTCTCCTGGGAGTGAATCACCTTGACATTTGGGGATTGTGCTGTGGCTGAGGCTGTCAGGTATGACAGAGTGAAGGAGCTCTAAGCTTAGGGGAGACTGCGGTGGGGGTAGAGGGGTTGGCCAGCAGAGGGGCCCTCTCTGGGGGTAGAGGGAGCCCCCCTTCACCTCCAAGTCTCCCCCACAAGGCAGAGATGCCCGAGAGGTGTGGGTCACTCCAAGAATTCCAAGGAGCTCCAGGAGCCCACACCCAGCTCAGTCTCCCCTCCAGACTCTGCCTGGGAAGCCACCCCAGGCTTCGGTTTCACAGCA